TATTATTTTTAATTACATCTTGTATCAGATCTTGAGATTGTTGGGTATAGTTTGCACAACTAAAGAAAATATGATTTAGATCGCCTTTCTCTTGACACATTGTACATATCTCCGAATCTATAACATGGATTTTGAATAAAAGTGCTGGATAACATGCATGTCCAAATTTAAATCTAATGATAGTTGTAATATACTTTCGAGGAAGTGAATAGTTTTTAAACCAATGCACATTCGGAATTTTTCGTTGTATTTTTGAATATTGAGTTGTAGTGGTTTTGCAATAGTCTGTCCAAGATTTTCTCCACTTTTCCATTTGACATTGTTTCTCAATTGCAAAAGCATCCAAATTGCACATCTGATAAAATATAATTCTTGTTTCAAACATGATTTTCCTAAAATTGACATTATTCGAGATATTTGAGAAAGAATGCAAATATCAAATAACTCAAAAATAAATAAAAATAAAAATCCCAAATTTAAACCTAAGCTTAAATCCTCCTAAATTTCGAGCCTAGTCAAAACATCAGGGGGTACTTGGTTTTACTTTAAGAAGTATCTATGTTATTGGAGAAGAAAATTCTTTAAATAAAAGTTGTTTGCGATACTATTCCCCTATGTTTCGAGTAAGATGTGTGTGGAAAATGTATGTATTTAGTTCATCCCCTAAACATTTACAGGGGTGATAATAGGTTGTACAAAATATCCGGAAAAAGCCTGTAATAACTAGACAGGAAAGTCATGCGTTGGATACATTATATTTTTACAACCGATATAGGAATGATATGAGTATAATGGCTTGCTGAGCGTTAAGCGTTAAGAAATAAAAAATGAATATTATTTTATTGAATTTTGATTATCTTGGTAAATTTAATTCGTAAATGGGATACACATTTAGTGAGTATGCAGATATGCATCTTATGTACGGTTTGCATCTTGCAATGCTTATGAAGCAAAAAGGTTGTATAAAGAAAGATATCCTAATCGCAATATTCCAAATGAGGAAACAATTAACTAATGCTACACATTTCACCAGTATACAATAAAGTTAGTTGCGAAGAGAATAAGAATTCAAGTAGAGAATGATGTCGCCATCTGTTCCTAGTAAGCAAAATTAAAGGGCGCTGTAGTACCCAGTTAGAAAACTAGGTGTTAATTCCATTAGAGACTGGAATTGAGAACCTATCTATTTCTTGCTGAAGAGTCCTAATAAGGACGAAACCGGTCCAAGAATGATGTTCTCCTTAGGGAGCAAAATCAAAGGTAGAGTGTTGAAATTTTATTTCTCTCTGCTGTCTTTCCTTCGGATATAATTCAATACCTGTTGCGGTATTGGCCAAAGGAGTAGTTGTTTTCTGAAGGGAAACTTTCGTTGTTATTTATGTGATATTGGCTTTTAGATTTATTACTTTATTTTATGTCTTGATCACATTTGAGTTTAATTAATTTTCGATTTTACAAATTGCCAGCCTGGTTTTTTGGTTCCACCTAGTTTTCTAATTGGCTACTACAGCGCCCTTTAATTTTGCTTACTAGGAACAGATGGTGACACCATTTCACTACTTGATTTCTTATTATCTTCGTAACTAACTTTATTGTATGCTAGTGAAATGTGTAGCATTTATTAATTCCATTAGAGCCTGGAATTGAGAACCTATCAATTTCTTGCTGAAGAGTCCTAATAAGGACGCAACCGATCAAAGAATGATGTTCTCCTTAGTGACAAAATCAAAGGTAGAGTCACAGTTTATAGTTTATAGCTTAAAAGAATCAGTTCGCTCACTCGGACCAATTGGATGTTCCAAAATAACATCCACTCTAGGGATACAAATTCAGGATGCGCAGGAGACTGCTGTTTGAATATAGGCGGTTGTCATAATTGTATTAGGCATTCCAAACAAATGAACTGTCAGTGGGAAGATTTGATATGATATATCTATGGAGGGTAGAGTAAAAGAGGACAATCTTATATGGATCTTTATATTAAAAAGTGGCCACCAAAATGTATACAATTAAGATGGCGCTCGTGTAGCCAGGGGACAAAATCCAATGCTATATAGTCATATAGATTGCTCATTCATAATTAAATCAGACAGGAAGCAGTAAATTGAGACCTCCGTGCCATTTTAATATAAGATTTATTGTTTATAATAGGTCTTTTCCTTTGCATCGACAGTGTACCACTGAGCTACGTTACTTCTGAAAATGTCGTTCCATCCATAGAATTTGTATAAATGGAACGATATTTTCAGAAGTGGTGTAGCTCAGTGCTACACTTTCGATGCAAAGGAAAAGACCTATTATTATTTTTCAATAAAATTTGACTATTGTCGTGTATTGTCAAAATTTATCTAAGATCACAGAACACTTACTTTTCTACGATCAGTCACTTTTCACGGTGTAGTTTTTAGTTTTTTATGATTGAGCAATATTTATTACTATATACATCATTGGTGTCATTGTGTGATCTGAATTATCGACTGTCGACGTCCCCTGGGCACAGAAGCGCCATCTTAATTGTATACATTTTGAGGGACACTTTTCTATACAGAGATTGTTCTCCTTTCCTCTACCCTCCATAGATATATCCAAGGGTTGCGACATACAATGTTTTCTGTTTACAATACGTAAAATCATGAATAATGGATTACATTTAAATATTTTATGTCAAACACAATAAAAATAAGATACATTTTTTCATAAATTGGCAGGCTTTGTGACTATTATTTCGAATAAAAAAAAAACGTTCAAGATGCAAGACTATGTCTCTACCCCCTTAGATATACCAGACCTTCTCACTGACAGCTATTGTTAATAGTAAGAGAGCCCACTGCAAATTACGACCGCCATCTGATAACAAAATGAAATATGCTCCAAAGACATGTAACAACATTGTACTTTGCCAAATTGCTCCTGTGCCAATCTGTAATCTAGAGCAAAGTGGTTAAAAAAAATTATTTTATATAAAAAAAATTACATGAGACATGACAGCGATAATTGTGTTTTCTCTGAAAATGACAATCCTAATTCATTGTGAATCTAGCTTTTAAACCTGAATTATTAATATTTTTACCTAATTTTGGCAGAGATAGTCAATAATAATTATAAACTCTTGTTAGATAATTTCTTTTAAACTATAATCATAGTAGTTTTTTTGTCGTTTCTATGACAACCTGTAAAAATGAATCACAACGAAAGGCATACAAATAAATTCTTAAATCAGCAAAAATTGATTCATATTTTTAATGATTTTTACCTACTTATCGTGTGTAGATGTTTTTGCTCGATGTTAAGAGGAAGAAAATGTTTCCCGTTAACGATATATATCAAGATATATTTGAATATGTTATTATCTGGAAAACTTTAAGGGCAAACAAAATTAGCGCTGTCATGCCTTATGTAATTTTTTTAATATAAAATATTTTTTTTAAACACTTTGCTCAGGATTGGGATTGTCACAGGTGCCAGTCGGCAAAGTACAATGTTTTTACAAGCTTTTGGGGTATATTTTATTTCATTATCAGTAAAAGTTTACAGTGGGCTCTTGGGCTATTATGATTTGATTCCGTATGCGCCAGGGATACAAATCCAAGTTGCGCAATGTAAAACTGGAACATTGAGATCAAAAGTGCCGACGCAGAGTGAGCGAACTGATTCTTTTAAGCTATAAACTGTGGTAGAGTGTTGAAATTTAATTTCTATCTCTGTTGTCTTTCCTTCGGATATAATTCAATACCTGTTGCGGTATTAGCCAAAGGAGTAGTTCTTTTATGAAGGGAAACTGTCGTTGGTATTTATGTGATATTGGCTTTTAGTTTAATTTACTTTATTTTACGTCTTGATCACATTTGAGTTTGATTTATTTTCGATTTTACAAATTGCTAGCCTGGTTTGTTGGTTCCACGTAGTTTTCTAATTGGGTACTACAGCGCCCTTTAATTTTGCTTACTAGGAACAGATGGTGACGCCATTTTACTATTTGAATTCTTATTCTCTTCGTAACTAACTTTATTGTATACTGGTGAAACGTGTAGCATTTGTTAATTCCATTAAAGACTGGCATTGAGAACCTATAAATGTCTTGCTGAAGAGTCCTAATAAGGACGAAACCGGTCCAAGAATGGTGTTCTCCTTAGTGAGCAAAATCAAAGGTAGAGTGTTGAAATTTAATTTCTATCTCTGCTGTCTTTCCTTCGGATATAATTCAATACCTGTTGTGGTATTAGCCAAAGGAGTAGTTGTTTTTTGAAGGGAAACTGTCGTTGGTATTTATGTCATATTGGCTTTTAGTTTTATTTACTTTATTTTACGTCTTGATCACATTTGAGTATGATTTTTTTTCGATTTTACAAATTGCCAGCCTGGTTTTTTGGTTCCACCTAGTTTTCTAATTGGGTACTACAGCGCCCTTTAATTTTGCTTACCAGCTACTTGAACTCTTATTCTCTTCGTAACTAACTTTATTGTATACTGGTGAAATGTGTAGCATTTGTTAATTCCATTAAAGATTGAAATTGAGAACCTATCTATTTCTTACTGAAGAGTCCCAATAAGGACAAAACCGGTCCAAGTGATGTTCTGCTTAGTGAGAATGAGAAAAATCAAAGGTAGAGTGTTGAAATTTAATTTCTATCTCTGCTGTCTTTCCTTCGGATATATATAATTCAATACCTGTTGCGGTATTAGCCAAAAGAGTAGTTTTTCTCTGAAGGGAAACGTTCGTTGGTATTTATGTGATATTGGCTTTTAGTTTTATTTACTTTATTTTAATTTTTGAATATAATTAAATTCGCTTTCACATGCACATGATATAAAACAGAAAAACTTTGAATGATTTTTCTCTAATTTACGTGTACTGTAGTGGAATAATGAAATGGAACTAATTTGTTTTTTATAAAATATCTCAAAAACTGTTCATACGCCCTCAAATTGGGCTTCGAGATTATAATATTATTTCAATTAAAAAGTGACAAAACGATGAAAAATCTAAACTTATAGATCACCTTTAAGGACCACTCCAAGCAAAGATAATATATTTGGATGTTTGAAAGCGCTCATGATTTCCACCTCCCTTAAAAAATCTTCTTCAGCTTCCTTGTTAGCAGAATCTTTCAGAACTTTTATGGCTACGATTTCAATTTGGTCGTCGTCACAGATGAGTTCGCCTAGAATATAAAATGAAAATTAAATTTAACAAAATATAAAATGTGAAGTTTTTATTTTTTTATAAAAAAATATCATTGATTATTAAAAAAAACTTTTATTGAAAAAGGAAGGAATAATTGTCATATAAAATTTGTACTCAGAACCAATATTCTGACCTGGATTTTAGCTTTCTATTTATACGCTATTCAGTACCTTACTGGACAAAGAACATATATACCTAATGAATATGATAAAATTACAATGTGGTTCACAAGTTATTAATAATTAAAAAAAAGAGTATAATGGGTAAATCACCCTGTATTTATTCAGAGACTCATTAAATACAGGTTATTCAGGACCACCTCGATGTCCCGTATCACAGAACAATATAAACTGTGCTATAATTTCAAAACCAGCCCGTCAAAATAACTTTTTACGTAAATTTAATAAAAACAAAAAATACCTCAGCTTTTATTTTTAAAGGGACGAATTGTCACTAGTAATACCACTAGAGGTCAAATTATTTCCTGATATTAATTTGACCTCGCGTGGTATTCGGTAAGAAAATTCCACGCCGAATTATTGTTGAAAATTAAATATTTTTAAAATTTATTTTTCGTTTCTCAACAATGCAAATTATTTTCTCCAAGTCACCAGTGAAACATAAAAGGTGTTGTCGCCTTGATTGTTGAGTTGTCATGGTAACTAAGTGAGATCCTAACCTCGAATATAATTTCAGTTTTGAAGTTGTCAAGCGGCCCGACGTAAAAAAATGTTTCGCTGCAATTATTTAGGCCTTCAAATTGCTTATTTCTACTCATTGTAGTTGCATGGGACTACCATTTGAAAATAGAAAATAGTATATTCTTTAATTTTACGTAAGTTTTGAATAACTACAAGTGGTAGAAAATTGTTTTTCTGCGTTTTTATTAACATGCGTTATGAGCGCTTTAAAATGGTATGAAATTCATAACCAGCGTCAGCAAGCATCAATCGTAGGAGGCTGTGATCATTGTATTTTGACAGTTCAAAACATTAAATAACTCGCGTTTTGTTGCGATAAAGAATATTGCACAGCAAGTAAAACCAACAAAATTACCTATTGGTTTAAAAATGAATCGATTTGAAAATCATACGCTATGCAAAATATGCGTGAAATTGTCTGATGTAATGATCAATCATTGCACCATGACTTACTTACTCGGATTAATAAAGGATTGTGGCTCCAACTTGAAAAACGAAAATTTGTTCCGAATTGTCCATGAATATTTGCACCTAAACTACGCAAAATTCAAAGTGCTGAATGGGAAAAAGGTGAATAAATCAGTGTCTAAATATTATATATATTTTATTAGACATAGACACATAATTCAAAGCATCCAAAGTCCTGCATTTTCGCCATTAAGAAGAAAAGAAGTGGCCGAAGAATATAGAAAACACCTTAGCATTGTAACTAAAATGTATCAAAACTAAACCTATTATGTCAACAAATAAAAACCAGTCTGTCAAAAATGGTCTGTTATTGTAAACGTCAAAAAATTTCCAGTATAATTCGCTGTTGGGTACCCCACGAGAAAAAAAATTCCACTAAAATACCTCCGTTGCCATGGTGATCTGTCAAAAACACGTATTTTGATTGGTTCAAAATTACAGGTGTGGAATTTTCATATAAATACATAACCTAAAATGCAATTATTCCAAGAAACACTTTAGTACCTACCTACTTGATGTGCAGGATTACGTACCTAAATATGAAATTTATTTATTTAAATTGAAATCCTTATATAGGTATCGTATATCTAACAAATAAAATATTTTTGTTGACAATGCTTCAAACACTACTACTATTTATATGATGGACTTAGGGCTTATCCGAAATGGTCAAAGGTTCAAGGACAAAAGAAGTTACTGGGTAATACCTTGACCGGGTTCTTCGAAAAATTTGTATTGTCCGATTAAGGGCTGTTGGCGACTATATTTTAGATATTCTAAAGGATAATTTTTTAAACGCAGAACAGGTCGATTTTGATCACATCCTCAATGGGCGTGTTTAGTGAAATTCATAAATTTTTTTTTTCTAAAATAGAGCACAAAATCTAATCTAAAAATATGAATTTTTAAATTTTCATCGTTTTAAATTTTTATGCAAGAAATTAAAAAAAAAATGAAGCAAATTCGCGCACTTCAATGTCTTTCAAACATCGTCATAATGAAGCCTAAAATCTTACTGGCTAATTCATAAATTTTAAACTTAAGCCTTAATATATCCTGCGGTAAGCTGATTAAATTTTGAGCATAGTTGAAGTATCTGGGGAATACCTTATACGGTGTCGTTTTTTACTTTAAGAAAATAAATAGTCTTGACAGTATTTTTTTAGGCAACCCATTGCGGTATATTTATAAACATATTTTATTTAATAAAAAAAAAACTTTAATGCGTTAAACAGATGGGTAAAGGTCGACCTTATTTCGAATAAATTTTGCCAGTGCAAGTGATTGGTTTTCGTCATAAAAAACAAATATCATCAAAAAATGAGTTAAATAAACTTTTCCAGTGGCGCACGGCATAGGAAAGTAACACCTTCATCTCTTCTAAATATTACGCCACTTTCCAAAATTTATTTGGACTACTTATAATTTTGATTTTGATGTATTTTAAATAAATCATGTACTCTTGTTGGGAATTTATAAAAAAATCCAAAGCAACAAAATTAAAAATAAATTTAAATGAATAAAATGCACCTATGAGTGTGAATATCTCAAAAACCAATCACTTTATGAGTGTCCAACAAGAGTACATAATTTATTTTTCTACGTTTATGCAAAAAACAAAACTTTATTGAACTATATTTAGTGAAAAAACTGGTTCTTTATTGCACTAGTGCAATAAAGAACCATTTTATTGCACTCATCTGTCATTTTACTACAGCGTTTTATGATCATGACAAACATAAATATTCAAATCGACGCCAAATATTTAGTCCATTTTAATTTTCTGTGAGATTGTACTACGTTTTAAAAAATATTAATATTGAAAATTGTACAAATTGTACATTTACTTTTAATATTAGTGGCCAAAACAACGTTTAAGCTTAATTATTGTTCATAATACAGTTCTTCCTAAAGTTTTGGTTAAATTATTTTTCTTAACATAGTTATAGTACTTTTTCAATGTTAATCGATGCTAATTATTAGTTATTAAATATTTTGCTATTAAATTACGCTTTTTATTCTTCCGCTCAAATAAAACATTTTTTGGTTTTTGCATGAACGTAGAAAAAATATTGTATGCAACTCGTGCAAAAAGTGTTTATTACACTTGTTGCATAATTAACTATAAAAAAACATTAAAAAATGTAAAAAATATATTGCAAATAAGTATTTGGGCAGTGGCGTTAAATTTAGAGGGGATGAAACTGTTACTTATTCTTGTCGTACGCCACTGGCAAAGTTCACTAATTGTTCTGCTGATAGGTGTTTCGTATGATACCAAAAAAGTTTACCAAATTTAGTAAAATTATACGGAGAAATAAAAAAATTATTACCATTAATAATTTTTAAATTTTCAACTTTAACACTTTGTATTTTGGAAACCCGTAATATTTTATCTAAGCATGTCTCGTTTAGTCGTCTATTTTTAATTAAAGAATCTTCAGCTGTTCTGTATCCCATTCTTAATGAGACACCCTATATATCCGAAAACGCTTCGTTTCAGATATATAGGGGTTAAAGTTTAAAAAATATCAATTTTTAATCAATACGTTAAAAACTTTTTAACCGGTTTTAATGAAATTCTCACAGCATGATGATATCTTATATATATTTTGGACTTATTAATGTGTATCCAAAATTTCCATAGACGTACCCACGGGGCAAGTCCATTATCGGAAACGAAGCTTTTTGGACATATCGTCGGCGTTCTGACAAAAGTCATTAAGTCCATTTTTGTCAATTTTTAGTTAAGTCCATAAACCGTGTTGAAATTTTCGCTTTTTTGAACTGGCAAAATTCATTAAGTCCAGCACTAGTATGTATACCTGGTTGCAGAATGTCAAAACTACCTAAGTCGCAAAAAGTTATTTTGTTGCCAGGCAGAAATCACTAAATGGACTTAATGACTTTTGGCTGGAATAGGCTATCGCAAAAAGGACTTAAGTGATTTACTTGTTTGGGTATTTTAAGGTTAAATTTGATTGTTTATGTCCTCTTTCTGTGGTTTGCGATACAACATATTGTGTGTATTTCCTAATAGTTAAAATGCAGGATTGTAGAGGTAAACGTATTTTAAGACTCGCTCGACTGAATAATGAGAATTTAAGCAAAAAACCCAAAGTTATTGTGCAACAAGTTGTGACTTTAAATAGCTGTACAACAGGTTTACTGGAAAAAGAGATATTACAACAACAGGTTAGTTTTTAAATTAATTAAAAATAAAAATATTTAGTTATTTATTGAATTGTTTTTTCTAGACTGTATCAGAATTTCACGTTGGCTCGAGCCATGAGTTAGATCTTATAAGCAACGAAAATTCTCCGGAAGAAGGTGTTTTAGAAGATCATGTAAACATCAATCTTTTTTTTTCGAAGTATATTAGAAAAAATCATAGACTTTTTAAATTTTACACGTCTAAGGTATTATTTCTGGTTACAAAAATGACTGATTTAAAAATGTTTTTATTATAGAATGAAGAAGATCCGTTTGCGGCTAGCGATGAAGATGACGAAGAGTATGATCCGAATATAGAAGAGGCCAATAATCTGACACGTCCGAAGACACTGAAGGTAAATTGAATTAAAATTAAATTAAAAAAGTATTTATAACATCCAGATATTTGTTAGCTCCAAAAGAAGAAAATCCTGGTACAAAGCAGATGATAGAAAGTGGAATCGAAATTTGACAAAAAAATGTAGAAATCTTGGACAACCCTACACTACCAAAAATCTGATGTGTCCAACACTTGACTTTCCTATCTAGTTATTATAGGCTTATTCCGGTTATTTTGTAAAACCTATTGCAGCAC